CCCCTGTCCCTTTCTCCTCCCGTGCCCCCCAGCCAGTCTCCCCGCCGGACAGCGGGCAGCCCCTCTGCTCTCCCGACTGTGGGGGGGCAGGGGAGCCTTGGGCGTGCACGGCCCTGGATATCAGAGGGGCCAGAGCGTCTGGTGGACATGGTGCAGAGTCCGAATTCCCTTGCCTGCCCTTTACATGACTGCAAAGCTGGGGTGGAGCACATTTTTGCTGCTCATCAGCGGCCACTGGGCTGCCCCTAATAGCTCTGCCCAGCCCGTTTCTCTGGGCATGCATGAACCACTGCTTCTTTGCTTAAGCACCAGGGGGAGCTTCTGACTTGCACATGACAGGCATCAACTATGAGGACTCTGGGGCCACAGAGCCCCTTCCGCCGGGTGAGGGGCCCAGCCCCTCCCAGGGAAGGACTGTCCAGTGCGCCTTGCCCATCCGGCCCTGCAGGGCAGACCCTCGCCCTCACCCCGCCGAGGGCTGCTGCTAAGTGTCCAGCCCTCCGGCCCAGCCTCTCTGCTGAGTGAACTCACACAGGGCCGTGCTAGTGTTGCCTCCAGAGCCGGAGCCGTGAAGCGTCTGTGGGAAGCAGCGAAAGCACAAGAGAGCTGGAGAGGAAGTTGCCTCCGGCCGCGGAGTGAAGCCATCATGGCGATGACTCAGGACTCGGTGCTCGAGACGGTCCCCTGGGCATGGACAGTGCAGACAGGGAGGCCGACGTGGGTGGGGCCGGACGGGGGCAGAGGCCGCCCTACCGGGGCCACTCTGTGGCCGCAGAAGGGCAATGACTGGCCAAAGAGCTCGGAGATGAAGTCCAGGAGATGGACGGCGTTGTGCCCAGGGTGACTCAGCGGGGGAGACAGCTCGTCCCGACCCAGCTCGTCCCCTGACAGCCACCCCAGCCGACTGCTGAACCTTGAAAGGTCGCCCTGGTGGGACGGGAGACACAGGCGAGCCCGGGCCGTGGCAGGGGCTGTGGCAGGGGCCGTGGCAGGGGCCGTGGCAGGGGCTGTGGCAGGGGCCGGAGGATCTTTGCCCCGTTTGCGCACCGTTAACTCTTGCTCTGGCTTCTGTAAATCAACCTGCTCTTGTTTACTTATCTGTACACCCGCGTCTCAGATGATAATGGCCATGAGGTCATAGATTCTAGGTGTTACATACGCTCGTTTTAAATATGATGGAAATTAGGGTCCTCCTTGGTGGGGCAACAGGTTAAGACACAGCCTTGCATGCTGGCAGCAGCCGCTTCAGTACGAGTTTGATCCCTGCCCCGGAGGTGACCCCAGGGCGCGGCAGACCTCTCCTGACCGCCCACTGCTCCCCTCAGCAGTGTACTTCGTCAGTCGGCCTGTTTTGCTCCCCACTCTGTCTCTGGTGAATCCTCTAACAGCCCCTAAATCTCTGGCCTGTACCCCAGTTCTGCATGCATAAATATATAAATCTTTTAAAAAATATGGTGGAAATCAACATGTGACTAATATAAAATTGTCTGCATTTCACCGGTGTTGCTCACAGCACTTTCTGGGACTCCCTCGTCCTGTCCTCTCATTTAAAAAAAAAAAAAAATGGGGGGCCCTCCCTGGTGGCGCAGTAGGCTAAAGTGCAGCCCTGCAAGCTAGCTGCAATAGCTTCGGTGTAAGTTCCATCCCCAACCCAGAGGTGACCCACATGGTGCGACAGACCCCACCTCACCCGCCCGCTGCTCCCCTCAGCAGTGTACTTCATCAGTCACCCTGTTCTGCTCCCCACTCTGTCTCTGGTGGGTCCTCCCACCAACTCTGCCCAGCACCCCAGTTCTGTATGCACAAATAAATAAATCTTTAAAAAAAAAAGACGGAAGCTTGGAGGTTGGAAGGAGGCCCACCTGTCCAGGAAGCAGGCAGGTAAGTGGCAGGGCTGGGTCCCATCCACAGCTCTGCCCACTGCGCCCTGACCCCGACGCCTTCCCAGCAGCTGACGCCGTGCCCGCCTGCCCTCCTCGTGGACTCTCGTCTCAGGGCAGTGGCCTGACCCATTGTCCCCGCCATCTCGCCCAAGGTCCCTGTGACTTGTGACATCAAGACTGCCCTGAGGCCACCGTGGCCTCGTCCCGTCAGTGCAGGGAGGTGGCTGTCTGACCGACCCTGGCTACGTGCTGGAGGCGAGGCTCAGAGAGGCCGAGTAACTTGCCCGCGGCCACAGAGCGGGTGAGCTTGGCTCCAGCTGCCGCTCCCGTTGACCGGCCCCTGGCCTCTGCTTGTCTCCCAGGAGCTGATCACTGCCTGGTACATTGGCTTCCTGACGCTCATCCTGTCTTCGTTTCTTGTCTACCTGGTGGAGAAAGACGTGCCGGAGGTGGATGCACAAGGAGAAGAGATGAAGGAGGAGTTTGAGACGTATGCAGACGCCCTTTGGTGGGGCCTGGTGAGTTCTGCACCATCAAGCCTACCCAGAGGGGCGCGTGTGGCGGGTGTGGCATCGTCGCCTGCTGCACTCTGCAGCCACAGGTGTGAGCAGGGTCTCTTCCATTCCTGCCCCTGGCAGCCCCCACCCCTGCCTGGCATGCCCTGGAACAGGATTTTCTAGACTTCTTTTTACGAAGTCAGGGCACAGAGCAGTCTGGCCCAGGGTGGCCCACAGCCCGTGGTCAGCCAGGCCGAGCTGTGTGAACAGATGCAGTGACAGGGACGTGTGGGCACACGGACACCTAGAGATGCACAGCCCCGTCTCCCAGGGCCAGGTGGCCCTGAGCTAGACTTACCGAAGACTCCTTTGCTCCAGAACATAGCACGGAGCACCGCGCAGGTACATTTGCGACCCACGGAACTCCTGTGATTGTCCCCTCCCTAAAAGCTGAGGGGAAACTGAGGCATGAAAAGGTTTAATAACTAATTAAAGGAAGGTCTCTGGGGCCTGCTAGGGGACATCACACTCAACAGTGCTGACGTCACCTGCTGCGTCCACACGTACACGTGCATTGATAACCCACCGTGCAGACGGCAGGAGAGCAGGGGTCACAGAGTGTGTACACACGTACACAGGTTTGCAGTTGGAGTCATTTGTTGATTGGCTGCAGGTAGGAAATCCTTGCCTCAGAGGCAGGCGTGGCCGCAGGCCACCATGTATGGCCCGGGGACCCTTCCCCCGCAGGAGCCTGTCTCGAGGGGAGCAGCAGCAGGGCAGCACAGTTGCAGGTGGAGGTCTGTTGCCATGTGTCCGCCTCCCCTCTCCCGGGAGGCCCATGCTGTGCGCTTCTCTCCTAGATCACGCTGGCCACCATTGGCTACGGAGACAAGACCCCCAAAACCTGGGAAGGCCGTCTGATCGCAGCCACCTTTTCCTTAATCGGCGTCTCCTTCTTCGCCCTCCCAGCCGTAAGTACTGTCCACCCGCCCCCGGGTGACACGCAGGACCCCTCGCTGCCGGCCTGGCCCACTCCCAGCCGCACGTCCATCCTTTCACGTCCTAACCTCCAGCTCTGGCAGCTCGATGGCCGCCCTCCCCGCAGGGACTCCTGCCGCTCTCCCATCGCTGTGCGGCTGCCTGGACCAGGAGCCGAACCTCCAGCGTCTGCCCGCCAGGTGCAGTTTCAACGCCGCCTTCCTTGGCTGAGTCCGTCACACGCTCCTCAGGGCTTACCTCTCTCTGCAAAGGCCTGTCCGGCCTGCGTGTGCTGCCCCTCTGGGAGCAGACCTGGAAATCAACAGCACAGATCATAATTCTGGGTAGTTCCAGTTGTAATGAAAGTCTCAGGTGACAGCTCAGGCAGCCGCTCTATTTAAAAAACCCCACTAACATTCACTGGACATCACTCTGTGACGGATCCCGTGTTAGGTTCTTCCTTCCTGCATGTGAGCTGGCCCTAGTGCCCAACTTCCCAATGGCAGAAGCGGCGGCCCAGACGAGGCCCCTGGGCTCTGACCGCAGGGGAGCCTTTCTCACCGCATGGCTCCAGTTACCTGCCTCCTAGGAGCAAAGGAAGGGGTCTCGCCCTTCTCTCCTTGTTCAGGGGAGACTCTGGTATAAATCTGGGTCCATGCCGGGCTTCACTTCCCACTCCCGTGGGCCCCTGGAGTGGGGTGGGGTGCTGGGGAAGTCAGCATGGGCTGACGTCTACCACCTCCCCCTGCAGGGCATCCTGGGGTCTGGGCTGGCTCTCAAAGTGCAGGAGCAGCACCGTCAGAAGCACTTCGAGAAACGGAGGAAGCCGGCTGCGGAGCTCATTCAGGTGTGGTGC